AGAAAAACGCAGGGACACGGGCGGGGGGCGTGGGGGCGGGGGGGGGGGGGGGGGGGGGGGGGGGGGCAGAAAGCAAACTGTGCTGGCCCAAAGGCCCAGAGCACCACCTTCCACCCTCTCCCAGCGCCTGCAGGAATTTTTATGAGCATGGAAGAAGAGACAGTGAGAGGAAGAGAACCCTTTTACTCCATCTTCCATTTGCAGCATCCAGCCTAGAGTCGACACTTTGTTCCTCTTTTGTTCTACTGACGAATAAAGATGTGTAGCCGCAAATATAGCAACTCTGACCAACTCCATCCACGAACTAACACAAAGTTATTCCACCAGTCAAAAGGAAATTATGGGTAAAGCAAACTAATTATAAACCTGCTGCAAATATTGAGAAATATTGCACACAAACCCAAGAGTCAGGTCCAACATCTATTCCTCTGCAAGTCAAACGAAACAGTGGTCCGATGTAACGCTTGGTTAAACCCGAAATTATCTTCTCATTTCCTCCTAGTTTAGTGAGTACCCCAGCAGCTTCCACTCCTTTGTTGTTTAAAATCATTAAAATAAAAAGGTCAAAGAGATGATCAAAAACTAAGTTCAAAAACTAAGTTCATATTACAGTAGTCTGCATCGCTTTGTTTAACTCGGAGGAAGTTGTCAAGTGCCCCGACAGATGATTCCACCTATAGACCTGAATTGGCACCCAGTGAGCTGTGGACAGAGCGAGGTAATCATTAGTGTTTCTGACATTATCAAAAACAGCAGTGAAACCAAATCTGTTTCAATCATGTGAGCCGCTCACTGGGAATATTAGTTTGCTCCAGATTTATTAGCACTTTACTTTTAACTGTGATCAAAACATCTCTATACTCGCATAAACATACAAGACCTGTGAACAATAATAACCTGGTCTCCCAGGTGTAAATCCGTCCTCATTAGAGGGGCTACAATATAAACTAGCAGGACGTTGGGTCCATGGGGGTCCAGGAACGTGACTGAAGGGCACTGCTTCAGCAGCAGCTTTCATGTGGAAATACAGTGTCGGTGCTAGTTAGAGCCATGACGAGTAACCCAATGACAGGGTGGGATGTAGTCACTTTTGGTACTTCTTTAAAAAGGTCCATAACACAAGATTAGGAGCTATTCGGAGCTATTCGATTGCCTCTCAATAGCTCTCAACATGGTGAAAACCTGAGCCAGTAGCTCACAGCTAACAGCGCTCACAGTCCAAACTACGGCAAAAGTGCTGACAGAGCCAACAGTGTTAACATGAGGGGGGAACCGGAGCCTGGGTGCTCCACTTCCAGAAAACGCTGTAACCACCACATGAGATACCTTCTGCAGTGCAACAAAGAGGTACCCCATAGGACTGTTTACACTTTAGAGCGTCCTGACATGCTCTACATGTATAAATCAGCTGTTCTGCTGGGAGGATACAAAGAAGTTTGGAAGACAGACTGAAAGAAAAAGCTGGTTGAAGCTCAACACCAAGGTAGTAGCAGAGGAACAGTTTAGGAGTAAGTTCAACCATCTTATAGATGCTAATTCAATAAACTAACTATGTTAATCTAATAAAGATCTGTATTGTGTGTGTCTTATTTTGGGGATATGACCTAAACAAGGCTCATGGAAGTCAGAACACAAACACGGGCTCAGTCGTCTCACTTGAGCACGGTCAACATCTCACAGCTGTTTAGTATGTGGCCTTTTAAAATGTGACCTAAATGGATGCTATTACATCATCTCAAAGTTGACAATCAGTTTTGCTGACTACTGATGGTCTACTGATGGTCTATCACAATTTGTCCTGTTCCTGCAGGATGAAGTGAAACTGCACTCATTACATATAAATATTTGAGTGAATTAAAAACACGCTTAAGACTTTACATTTTCTGATGAATTTTCTTTGGAGCAGCAGTATTTTGTTGATACCACAAGTTCTTCCGCCTCCAACTCTTAAAACAATTTTTAAGAAAACCTTAAACTGTACTAAAAAACAGTATTATATGGGTTTTCCTTTCATCAAGTATGCGTAGTGTATTCCTAGTAATCACAGAAGTCAGACCACATGGGAACATAGACAGACATCATGAAAGCAAAGGTTGCTGAGCCCTCTGTTGGCAAAACTAGTGAAATACATCAGCTCAACAACATAAATCAATGTTTAAGCTTTTCTATCCGCTTTAGGCTCTCAGCAAGCATAACAATGCTTTCTCACAGAGACTAGAACTTAAATGAACCCATCCAACAGGGAAGGTGGGGAGCACAACAGCCACCGAATGGTTACAACAGTACAGGACACACATCCTTGCTGAGATGGACTCTACTAAAGTGCCAAATACATCAAATACAATGCCCATTCAGAAATACGTTTCTGTTCCTGCAGTTTTTTCTAGAAGACACCGTTTAGAGAATGTTTTGATCACCATTGTTCTCATAATCTTCAACCATTGTTTGCTGTAGGTGAAAAGGAATCGTGCGATTATTCTTTTTTTCAATAATCATCAATGTGACCGACAGGACATCAAATGCTTTTAGTGTGGTTTTAGAGTGTGGCCTGTGAACAACTCAAGCAAATCCTATAGTATACCATTAGTTTCACTAAGTAAATAGTAAAATCACTTCTGCGGAGAAACCAATTCAACCCATCTGCAGACCATCGGAGCAGCCTGAGGAGCACCGGATGACAGTATCAGACCAATGCTACCAAGTTAGCCGAGTGAGCTTGTTTGGCGTAATCTAACCCCGAGCTCGTCTCTGAGCCCTGGGCCCACGACGTCTGTTTGGCCAGTATAATTAGTAAATGGACTAGAGTTGATACAAGGGAATGAGGAGCAGCTGAACTGCTATACTTCTCTCGCTTTTGTATATTGTGGCTCAATGCAGATATCAAATGGAACGAGAACGTGAGCTGTCTTCACTGCATTTCACTGGAGCTAAAATCAACACAGTTGAGTCGTCTGAAAGCTTTTTAAAATCTAGACTGAGCAAAGGACAAAATTCAAACTTACCAAAAGTAAGGGTGGCATCCAAATTTCTGTCTTTTGCACATCACATACAATTTTATTTTGGTTTCCACTGACTTGCTTGGTTGGTAAATGTGTAGGCATATCTCACACATGACAAGCAAGTGGTCTAACCCCAGTGGCAGCACCTCCAACCACAACGTCAGTCTGAGTTCTCAAAAGAAAACTGAATGTGAGGCACTTTAAGTATGTTTTCTTAAGAGACTAAATTACCTGTCTCTGCATCTCTTCGACTTGTCTGTGAGGAATACTCTTTAGGATGGTGTACATCTCTGATAGCTTCTCCTCTGGAATAACCACAGATGCCCTGCGCAGAAACAGAAACATTACGATTGTGAACCGAAAACGGCCGACTGTCAAATTTGTTTTTCCGAGTGTTCAGTGACTTGCCTTTTCCAGTCGAGTACTTCAGAGAACGGCAGAATGTACGAGTCGGCAAGGATGACGGGGACACAGCCAGCTTGCAGCACATCACTGAGGGCGGCCTGTCCCAAACGCGCCCCCCGCAAAACCACACAGAATGAAGACTCCTGTGGAGACACATTGGGACCAACTCCTTAATAGTACATGTGATTTTGCATTGTACATACAAACTAAAACCAGGCTCTGTTGACTCATTTTCACAGCTGGAGATGTGTTCTAGAACAAAATAACATTTTAAAACCTTGAACTGCATTCGTTTGAGTTCCTGGGTTGTAATTTCTACCTCCCAAAACGTTTCTAATCCCAAGGAAACGCGTATCGAAGGCCCATGAATTAGGTTACGTGGAACTGTAGTACTCATCGTTACTGAGTGGTAAACAGACTGCTCAAACATCTATGCAGCATCGATTCTGTCTATAACAAGCACTGGTTGTTGGTGGCTGACTTTCTTTGTAGTGCATCTTGACACTGTATGACATGGTTTTAATGCAGTCGTGCTTCCCACCTGCAGGATCTGTGGGTAGTCATACACCTGTCCCTTGCAGCAGCGTTTCCGTGCAGAGGCGGCCCCCTGAGAGAGGTTGCTACACTTGTCCAGGAGGAGCAGTGCTTCTCCGTTTTCTTCCTTCAAGCGCTCCACCTCAGCACGGTACTCTCGGTGGATAGCCGTTTGAGAAGACAGAATGAAGTAGCGCCGCGGCCTGGGGGAATGGAGACAGGAGATATGCAGCTGGTTATACTACTTTACTTTGTTGACTTTAAATGACTCCTCGATCAAGAGTGTTGAAAACCACAATTACTTTATTCTATTTAGACATCTATTATAAATATCACAGATCACAATGTTCCCCTGGAGCATTGTCTGTAGAGAAGTTGTTGATGGATAACTTGAGTGAAGTGACTAACAAACGAGATAATACAAGTTAATTTGCGAGATGTGCTCACCCTGGTTGTCTCTCAGGCAGCTCTACTTCCACAGACAGGGGGCTGTACACTGGAATGCTGACATCATAACCTTGTCTGTAGGTCCATGTAGAGAAACCACCTCCAGCCAGCAGCGCTCTGAAACAAACGGCCCAGGATTGTAACAAACACTCTGGGGATTTCAACCGACATGAGCTGCATGAACATCATTTAAAACTCAAACTCATGCATTCATTAATTTGCTTCCTGTGACAACTTTTTGCTACCAGCAATGCTAATGTGAGACATGAAGTGGCATCAGACAAGGCTCAGTGCCCCGGTTAATATATGCAATGTAGTCCACTTGGTGTGTACTTTGGATTCTGGTCTATTCTCAGGCACGGTGAACATAAAGTGGAAACACACCGTCAGTCACACACCTGGTTCTGATGAGGCTCCATACCAAATTGACTCCAGCTGAATGAGCTGAGGAAATTCCTTACAGCTAAAGATAAGTGTTCATTGGCTCAAGGATGTTTTAAAAACCCAACCATCACTATAGCCTACAGGAAATCTTGAGACACATGAGCTCTTCGCTGGCAAATACAACCAGATTTGAAGCATCTCCTCAAGGTCTCTTGAGAATATGTTGTATCGTCACTGCTTGCAAAATATATCTTTCATTTTCATCAAATCATCATTCTTAACACTTCATAAATGACTGCATTTAAAATGCTAGCTAAACTATATATAAAAACTATAAACTATAAATATATATATATATATATATATATATATATATATATATATATATATATAAATCCATTGTAGTTTGAAAATGAATGTATTACAACCAGGAAACAATGATTTATCCTTTGATTTCTACCTACAAGAGGGAAGTTGCTGACAAGAATCCTGAAAACATGCTTTCCTCCACTCTGGTGTTGTGAATAAAATGTGTACTTTTAGATCATTTTTAAGCTTTCAATGTTTGAATTGACTGTAGTACTAGAACAGTTGATGGCACTTTTTTGGTTAATAAAATGTATGCACCAAACCTATCCTTTAAATAGAAGATCAATAATCCCAAAATATGACTTTTGTTGAACATATTTCCATTAATTTCCATCCAGATTATAGTGAACACTACAATATTGAGATGGCTTTCAAGGTGTACAGTAGCTACCTGTCTCTGGGAACATCCAAAGCAGTATTGTAGTCTGGAGGGCCGCCGGGTAACATGTTGAAAAGAAGGTGATTCATCCCTTTGTCCCATCTACCAAAACATACACAAGATTAGTGCTGGAGGAATACATTAACTAACAGATTATTTAAATAGAAAGTTAAATTAGTGTTTTAAGCAATCATCAAACAGTCACATTTTATTGCACTTTTTATTAAAAATATTCTATATTTTTGACCGTAGATACATCTTTAAGGGATTAAAATGCTACATTTGAGATTCAACACCAGTGACAACACAGATATTAAAGTAATTTGAGAGTAAGAAGTTCATAAAAAGGGCTAGCAAAGGGCGAAAGAGAGAAACTCTACTGCACAGTTAAATTTGAGCAAGACAACAACTATTTTCTAGCGTAAACATTTACCTGGGTAGCATTGCCAGAGCCTGGGCAGTCTCTCTGATACGCAGGGAGTTCTGGTTCAGCACATCAGTGGATGGGACAAAAAGACAAGCCCTAGTGACATCGTCAGTGTAAAAGTCACTGTCAGAGATGGCACTGAGCAGGTCATTGTACTCTCGAGACAGTCCAGTGCTGCTGATGGGAACCCCCAATTCATCCACAAACTTCTGCAGAGGGTAGATGTACACCTACAAAAAGCACCCATGTCAACAATGGGGCATAATGAAATGATATGCTGACTTTGTGTAAGCTCAGTGATGTGAGGGTTGTTGTTTTTAAGAGACGGGTTACCTTGATTCTGTTTTTAGGATTGTAGCCACATCTGTACACGTCAAAGCAGGTGTGCATGCGACAGCTGAGGTCCCCCCTCTCAGGAATCGGACTGGAGACGGGGAGGCGGACCAGAGGTGCCTCGTGAACACTGCGTTTATCAAGGGTCCAGTCAGCTGCGGACTCGATGGAGTGGGGCCAGAACTGAAACATCCCGGTGGCGATGAGTCCGAGCAGCACCACGGAGAAGAGCGTGATGTAATAAATGCGGTGCTTGGTTTTCATCCGCGGGATAAGAGCAGGGCCCCGCGAGCTGTATTTCCCCGAGGCATACATGGCTGACGGACAGATCTCCTGATCAATGACAGCTTCTGTGCACCATGAAGTACAGTCTAACGTTACCCTAGAACAAAAAGTAAAAAAGACTCGTACTGCAGAGAATGTGGTACAACGATACGGTCACGGTCCCCCCAAATCTCAGTATATATATGTTAGCTAACATTACCCAGTCACAATAAACAGTTGTTGAAATGATTCTGATTTCAAGGCCTTTTAACAAATTGATGAGATAACACTAACTTAATTGGGAATTGTCAAACAACAGCGAAGACAACAGTAGAGTGACTTAACGTAACTAGGAAGTTGACTTGGCTAACCGCAGCTAACCTAGTAGCTAGCTGACACTAGCTAAATAAACCAACTGTGTAAACATTCGTGCTAACTTGACTCAGTAACGTCAGCTGAAATAATTAAACATTTTAAAACGACCACAGAAGAGGAAACTTCAAACGTTAAACATGTACCTTATGTTTAACTCACCGAGGCGCCTAATGGAACGGGGTGTTACAGTTCAGGCTTAATTCATGGCAACTGTTCGAAAACAGGCTACACTTGTAAATACAGTGCTAATGCTAACCTAGCATCACGCTAACGCTAGTGCTACAGGAAATCTTTCAGTGGTAGTCACTCTTCTTCGCTCTGACATGCAATTCAGTGACTCAGGATTTAGATACTATGCTTCCCTCTGGTGGGAGTGAAGGTATACTGACACATGTTTTACCAATATAGTATTGCACAGTACAATATTGTTTTTAATCCTTTTACTTGTCATACATTTATACTTCATAGAAGGAGAAGTATTTGCATTCGTAGTAGCTTGTTAAGTCTAAAATCAAAGAGAGAGATGTACCAATTGTTCAATGGCCTTTGGATCTAATCTGGTCCAAGGTGTGTCACTGGTGTTATCAAATAGACACCTGCAATCCACAGTGTTGTTTCACCCACGCAACCTTCATGAAGCTCAACACTAGATTTCCTTCTTATCAAAAACAATTCATAATACTTAAATATAGCTCAGAACAACTCAACAGCTGTACTCAGCAGTCCTAAAACACATTCGTAACATCTAAAGCACAATCTTTTTTTCAGGAGGGGTTTATTTGGCAAAATCTACTTCAAAGTACAGTCCTTCATGTATCCATGGTACTTGATATCAACATTCAGTAGTTTAAACAAGTTAATTGCCTCAATCTTCCTACAACATACATTATCTTTTAGGAGAATTATACTCCTATTATACTCTTATTAATATACTAAGGCTAAACTGTATCTTAACAATGTGGGGTAAACAGTTTAACCCAGAAAACCTGAGACATCAACGACAATTTGTGGCTCATTTAAATAGCAGCCATCCGAATGCAAACAACAGTAAATTAGTAATACATGATAAAATATATATGACAGAAATTCTAGTTATTTTCATGGTTTGTAGTTTATTCCATTACAGGCAGGGCAGTGAGGGATTAAATACATTCTTATCGTGGGGCAGGAAAGGAGGGGAAGCAAACCAGGTAAACATGGACAAGACATAGTTGAATTATTCTTCTTTCAATATAGACCAATTTGTAAATCTGCCAATAGTTTGAATAAATAACTTTCAGATTAAGTCAATACTGATATCTTTTAATATATTCATTGTTTTCATATTGTCATATAGTGGTTTTCTGCGTGACTATTGGAATTCATCTTTTTTTCTTTACATCTGCATACATAATTACACATAGAACATGGTGCTGTACACATCATGGCAGAAAGTATTATAGTGCTTTCTTTCAGCAGTGTTTTAGTGTATGACCGGCTGCAAGCAGAGTTACCGAAAGTAGGAAATTGCGAGCCCAACCTTGGTGTATCTTGTGAGAGTCTACTGGGACTGGCAGCATGACTTGAGTAGTGTCAGACTGTAAACTGGCTGGAACTGTCTGCTGTGAGTAATCACAGCAAGTCTTAATCCAAATAGAGAGACTGTGCAGATCACTATGGTGACTCCAGGCTTGACGGTGGCACTGCACCAGAGGTCACCTGTGAGCAGGCTGTCACTCTGCAGTATGTCTCACCGACCATGAAACATTTGTAAAAAGAGCATATTGTCACCATGCCATGGCAGGATGTCAAATACTGTTCAACTCGGACAGAAAAAAAAAAAAAGCTGAAATATAGAACTCCTTACATTTGAGGAAAGTCTAAAAAGTTCCCCACACTGTCCCTAAAAAACTGAGATAAAAACCACTAACATCAAACCAATCTGTTGCAAGAGCAATAAGGATAATAATACCATCAAATATAGCAATAAAAGTGATAACAACATTAACGGTAATAAATAATGCAAATTGTGAGCCACCTGTTACACACAGAGTGATATGGAAGATTGTATGCCACATACAGTATTTAGAATTGGCATACGTGACGTTTGAGCCCATTCATTCATTCAGTCCATCGAGGATGTTTGAGATGAACCACATTAAAGGGAAGCAAACGCCTTGACGTCCAAGATGACACCTTGAGAACAAGAGAGATGAAATCCTGGGACATTTTTAGAATACACAGTTTGGTCCTGTCTGGTGACCCAGGCGTTTCAAAAGCCATATATTATAATTTCTGAACATGTTTCGATCTTATTTACTGTGACTCAATGACAAGACATTTCTATACCAGCCATGCTACGATGAAATGCATAAAGTATGCTTACTCTGACCTGGGCACATTGTTAAGAGCTCTCCAAAGAGAACGGTACAGTAGGTATGAGACTAGGACGACTATTAGCAAGTTATTATTATCATTGGTTCAAACCCAAGGTACAGAGGTTGTGTTTTCCAAATGAAAGCCATGGCAGTGTTTTAAGGTCAGGGTAGCATTTCTTCCGTGGTGTTGCTGTGTAACAGTCTACACGGGAACCAACAGAATGGGAAGGAGATAATGAACTTAGCTTGTGTTTAAATAAAGCAATATCCATATACATATACAAAACTACATCTCATAAATACATTTGGCATACAATGTATTACATTTTTTGGCAAATATTTTGGGGGTAAATTGAGCAATATGTGTGCAAGAGTGTCCAAATGTCAATCTAAGTGGTTTCTTGACATTTTCTCTTTAAAAATAAAGACAAAAACAAAAACCTTCATGCACTATAAAGAGTAACCAAAAGACTCAAAAACATCCATAGGTGTCTGTAATAACTTTGTCACAATCACTACATTTTTAAGACACATGAATTCTCACCAATGCAACATACTTACTCTCTTTCTCAAAGTCAATTATTTGTGGACCTGAGGAACATTTCATAATGTCTTCTCACTTCTATTGATTGATGAATATGTCCATCTTCACATTCCTGATTTGAAAAAATAAAATGAAAGAAAAGCTGGACAAGATTTCCGGAGCTGCTGAGGGTGCAGGAAGTTCTACAAGGACACCAACCCAGATGATGTGCCTATGCTAACCTCTTCTACAGTGTTAGTTTTTGAATCCCTGCTCAGTAAAGTATTCTCCCTTTGATTTTGTTAAGTTGGGGAACTGATGTAATGCTGACGCGTCCCTACGTGGGTGAGACGACATTGTTTTGGAATGCCATTGTGAAGCTACAGTTATTTATATTCACCCGAAAGCAGTACGGCCCCCTGGCATGCAGAGAGAGGTATCTTTTTTTCTTAGTCATTGCAATAGTGTGAAAATGCTATAAACAGCGTTCACCGGGGACACCTGAAGAATGGAAATAGTTTGTATGTTGGTCCGTCAAGTTCTGTCATTGGATTTCTGATGAGTGACTGCATTCCGTCGCATGCACGTACTGTGATATGTTTTACATTTTAAATGACTGCACCTGTCAATCTAGAGCAAAGGACACTGGAGTCTCGGGAGCACACTACACCATAGATGATAGTGTGTTCTCTTCAGGACAGTGGCAAGGGCTAGAGGTTCGTATGGAGTGCATGGCTGGCAGGGCGCCCTCGCCGGGGGAAAGGTCGTTGAGCTCCTCAGACGACGAGAGAGGGAAAGAGGGGGACAAAGAGATGCCTGAAGAGGGGTCAGCAGATCCAGCAAAAGTGCGTGGGGGCTTGGGGACGAGGTTAGGCTCCAGTGTTGCTCTGGCCAGAAGTTGTTTGTCATCCAACGGCTGTCCATCTACCAGACACTCTCCCTGTCCAAAAGAGCCCCGGCCTGACTCGGACTCCCCGTCAGACAGCTCCAGAGGTGGTGAACTGCTGCCGTCCAGTCTGAATAAAGAGTCTAAGTACTGGGCGAACTCCAGCACTGCCTGGCTGGGGTTTCCATTGGATAGTTGGGGTGGAGGAGTAGAAGCTGCCTGTCTGGTCTCTGCACTTAACTGTTTCTCTGCTGTCTCCAGCTCCCAGTCTTCATTATCTCTATCTCTAGAACCAATCTGTGGGCTGAGGGGAGCGATAGGAGTGCTCCCTGGGCTGTAGACACCAGGCATCTGTTGGTGATCCCCATCAGGAAGAATTTCTCGGTTGACGCTCTGATTTAGCAGAGCTGGGGAATGGTTTCCACTGTAGTGAGATGTGGCAGGAGACAGCTGCATGGATCTGGATTCCAGTGGGGTAAAGAAGGGCCCAACCTCACCCAGGTGCTCTGGCGTTTCCGGGCAGAGGCAGTCAGCAGCCAGTAGTTCAGTGCGAGAGCTGAGAGACGGGTTCTCCTCAGGGATCGGGGCATCCAAAGGGAACGGGAGGCTGCTCAGCAGTGGCGAACCCCTTAGCGCAGCCGAGGAGCGCCGAGAATCCAGACTATAGAGGGATTCGGCGTCTGAGAGACTCTCCATGACAGCCAAAGGTGCTTTGCGGTCCCTCAGCTCCACTGCCAGGCGCTCCCGTGTTCCACGCAGCACTACAGGCACTGGAGGAGGAGGGCACTCAGAGAAACCATCCAGAGATATTTCAGACTGGGCACACGAACTAGAGGAGAGGAGAAGAAGGGGTTGGAGAGTGGAGGAAGGGAGAAGGGGTCCAAAATACAAGACAGACATGAAAAACGGGTCAAAACAACTTACGGAGGGTTAAAGAAGAGAAAAGCGGGAATGTGTTAGTATGTAAATCATATCTAGATTCTACAGACTAGGTGGACACCAGCAACACATTACATAGATGGAAGGAAGAGGAGAGAAAAGGAGAGACTGGGAGGCCAGGAGTGTATCCTCGTGCTCTTGTATTTAGTGTCTAATACAGGAGAGAAAACATCCCAATTCAACCATTATTAGGAGGAGTTCACACTGACTTTGGACAGGGGCTAAACCAGAGGGGGCGAGGTGGGAACTGAATACTACCATACGTTGCAACTGCTCTGTGGTCAGACAGCGTGCATGCGTGCATGAGAAAAGGGAGCACATTATGCAGAATTAGTATTAGCATGCATTGCTTACCGTAACAATGTTTTTTGTCTTGTTTTATTAAAACCAAAAGGAACAGACAGAAAGATGATTTTGAGAAAAACAATAAAGTAGCAGTTAGTAGCAGTAGTATTGTTTAGTGTCTGCTAGAAAGTTGAATTAAAATCAGACATATCCTCATGATTATCCCTACAGTTTAGGAAGAGGTTTTGAAGAGGCTGCATTATATATCAAGTTAGAGGGGAAACTCAATATAGAGAGGATCAAACAAACTGTTTTATATATATGTATTTTTTAATGCTCCAACACACCCACAGTGGTGCCTGGTGTACTAACCGAACACTGCTGTTCCTGCGGTGATGGGTTGTAGGCACCGGCTGCTGAGTTGTTGATGTATCCACGAACATGCTCTCTGGGTTCAAGTCCACTTCTGTGGGGCTCACCATGATCTTGGCTGCTGACAGCAAAGCGGTTTTGCCTTTGTTGTAGTTCTCCAGCACCTGTCACAAGCACAAAGGTGTACAGACACGTGACTTGACCGATAAAAGCACGGTGAGAGCAAGAGAGGAGGGAGGATGTGCATTGAGAATCCACATGAACAGAATAATAACTACATCAAGTAGAAATGACTTAACTGCTGGAGTAAAACAAGACATTCAAACGATTTAGCTTGCTTGCTTAGTTTTGAAGACCAAAAAATGTTTTTTCTATGCTATTCTCCAAAAAAAAACTGGATGCAGAGGAATCTCAAATGTCTGACAGAATTAAGATATATATATTTTTTTAAATCTTTAAAAAAAAACACATTGCTTCTTGGTCAACAGGTGGGATAATAATAAAAAACAGGTTTAGATAAATTCTTAGATTGATGTATAAACTTCTGGCCATTAATAGTTTGGAGATCATCAACACACACACACACACACACACACACACACACACACACACACACACACTTCTACTAAATCTATATTCAACCCCAGATATGATTACATATATTATTATAGTGTTAAAAAAGAGGCACAGTGTTGTCCAGATAAATGTAAGAGTAGTCTAATAGTGAGCCATCACCTACTCCATCTGACAATAAACACCCACAATGGAGTCATGATGCCTGAGCAAGAACTATGCAAGACCTACAATATGATAAATAGATGGTAAAACATTAGATAACTGTGTAAGCAACTCTGACAACATACAAGAAACACTCTGTCCCACAAAATGTTAACGGTGTTGCGTTAATAATAGTTAAAAATGTGAGGAGAACAAACACTAACAGCAAATCACATCAACACACGATTACATGTATTTGGTTTACTTTAATGAGTTTAAACACTTGGTGGAAGCACATCATGATATGAAAACAAGTAGAGCAGTGAGACAACATGAAAACACAAAAAAAACAACAACATACAATTCATGCGACAATGGAAGATAAAATGGCAACAGATAAGTTGAAATGAATGTAAACAAAGACTGAAAATTAGAGGGACAGAAGCCCTTTAAGTTAAAAATGCCATTAAAACAAACATGCTTATGATGTTTGGGTTATGCAGATGTATCACACAAAACATGAAGACGTTACATGGGTGAGTGTGTCCGATGATACATGAGGACAAGATTTCTGTGAGTGATAAAACTGCAGCAAATATTTGGCACCAACAATATCAAAATATCACCTGCACTTGTAGCCACAATGACTAAACAAAGCATGAGACTGCAGATTGAGTACCCAGAGACAGAAATCTATACTTAAAAGTTCATCCTTGGAGTTTTCCATTATTCAATAATGTACTGCAACCCCTACAGCCATAGACTCACATGACATGTATAATTTATGAAAGCACATTTTGACTTGGCAATATAAAATGCATGGTGGAGAACATTAAAATATAATTCCAGTAATCAGCCCTCCACTGTAACAAGTTAGTAATAAGAGAAAATTATGAATTTGCTAAGATTCGTTGAGCATCAATTTAGCAGCAGAGCAGTGGAGACGAGCCGAATTCTCCATATTGAATCATTTGTCCCCCCTTGTTACTCCATCTGCTGCTGATGAGTAATTGACAATTTCTTGAAGGGATTATTGAGGAAAGGCTAAATGTGTGCTTTCAAAAGGCAAAAAGGGAGAAGAGAAGAGCTGCAGCTACTGGAAAACCCTGCCAAGAAGGAAGAAAGAGCAGTTAATGTGGAAGAAATTAGGTTACCATGGAAACTTTGTGCATACAAAGAAAACTTGTTAGCTTGAGAAACGGGGTTAGCAGGTTCATACCACAGCACTTCAGCAAATGTACGGTGGCTGTGAGAGGAATGGAAGAGAATGAAGGGTTGATTTAAGGAAAGCTGGAGGGTGAATGTCATTAACAAGAGAAAGAGTGCAGGTGGGTTTGGACGTATCATGCAGGGTTGTAAGACTCCACATTTTAAAAAGGGATTATTCTGGTACAGTTATATGCACCATAGGCTGGTGATGTATTCCAGGGGCTACTTAGTGATGACATTTACCTCATCACGGTGTTGTCATGTATACAGATTCCTTGCCTCAACTTGCTTTGTGATGGCATCTGGACTACTTGCCTGGACTTGTGGCACCCAGTCACCAGTTTTTATGTGCAAGTGGAAAGAGCAAATGGAAGTCTTTGCGCAGCAAGAGAGAACATGTTCACAGTTTCACTTAACTGTTGTATCAGTTGAGCTGCGTTGCATCAGTCTTTTGTGACTTCTTTTAGTGGAGGAACTGTCAGGCTCTCTCCACCTCATCTATGGTCACTTTTTAAATATTAGTACCTTTTAAGAAGGCCTTTCTTCAAGAAAACCAACACCAAACCCTGAGTTTTAACATCAGGCAAAATGTTTCTCCCGTTACACCTCATGGGCACGACGTCACGTCATGAGTCTGGCCACAGTATTAAAAGCAACACTGACCGTTTTAAAATGTTCCACGATAAATTATTCCTTTCACAGATTCGACTAGATTGTTAAACGTGTTTTTGCTGAGAAGCTAATGAGGGCCAAGTCAAATACTGGGAAGTCATTAAGTCTATACAAGAGTATCATAGGGACTGTTCTGCACTTGTAAACTACAGACTTCATGTTTTTGGAAAGAGCTATGCGATATTACTATCTTCAGGGGATCATTTTCTATCTGAGCACAGTTAGACTCATCAGATGGGATTTCAGAAACGGGAGCAGCAATCACATCTACGCCAAGGTGAGAATCGGCTGGATCGGATTGGGTTTGTGGTGGAATACATGAATCATCTCCAACTGAGAGGGCTCCTGAGTGAGAGTTGGAAGGACTATTAGACATTGAACGGACAGACACCGAGCACGGCTGTGAGGCAGAAGTACAGTCTGACAGAGGAGGAGAAGGAGGAACAGACTCAGCATCTGAAAAAGAGGAAGAAGCAACGACAGACAGAGGGACGGAGACAGCCTCGGTCCCTGTGAGGGAACCAGTGAAAGACGCATCAGTGTTGGCGGGAAGGGAGGAATCAGAGGGAAGAGGACTAGAGTTAAATTCTGTTTGCGAGGTTATGACCACAGTGGTATTGTTGGTGGGTTGATTGGCTTCCAGTTCTTCCGGTCCTGAGTTTTCCTGCTCAGACACGAGACATAATGGTTCCAGTACCTGCAGAAACACCAGAGGTATCATACTACAGACTAGGTACAGCAGACGTACACACACACACACACACGCACACACACACACACAGAGCACTGATAACCATCCATCCAGAGACATAATGACACAAGGCTGAGCCACAAAAACAAATGCAAAAAACCAAGTAAAAAACACAAAAAAGTGCACTCCCCACAGTGGATCCGTCCCATGCAAACATACACGTCAATACCCTGTTATCACAACAGATGTTCAATGCCCGTGAAGATTACTAATAAAGACCACCATCAAACCAGGAGTGAGCAGCCCCCATGCTTTGAAACTGGAAGAAAAAACAAGGTGAGGTGAGTTATACGTTAATGAAGGGTCGCATGCATACATTGACCATAAAGTAAGAGTCAATCTTACAAAACCCTCAAAGAGATTTTTTAACTGAACACTTAAGGAGCATACCATTGAAAAGAGCATCACTGGAAACATAATGTTTTTATTCTGTCTTTGCAGTAGTGTGGTTTTTGAAATAAATCACTTCAACTTATTTGACAATTGTCTCTTTGATCGCTGCGATGTTCAATCATAAGATGGGTAGATGTAAAGGCCTAAGAGATAATAAATGTATCACCCATCTGTAAATAAGTTTTCTTTAGTAATCTCAAAGTTCCTGCCAGGCATAGATGCCAGAAAGATTTCACTTCTATTACTGATAATAACTGAAACCCTCTGTAGAAGAACAGATGCATAACTGTAGAACATTTATAGGGCTGTGTGGCTGGATAACCACTAGATGTTGTAGTTTCTATTTACGGAGAAAGCAGGGTGAAGTTTTGACCAAACATACAAAGTGGAACCATATTAAATGTCCATCTATGACTCCAAACATTTCTGTTTTGTCATACTACTCTAGACGAACCTCTTAGCCTCAGGTGCTGAGTTTCAGATCTCTAGCTTTAGTTAAAAAAAATCTAATTTTTGGCATCCCCTTTATGAACAATTTTTAAAAATATTCGTGAATGTATTTTAATCTTTAAAGTTAGAGACGATTCACACACACACTCATCATCCACCAATTCAGTTATCCAGTGCTGGAAATCATGAGTGACACTTAAAATGAATTTCACCACCATTTAAACACCCCCTGCCAAATCCATCTGCATGCACTCAGATAAAACAGACCTTGTTGAGACCCTCCATCACCATGTGGGGCATGTGCTCATTAAGCATGGCAGGTGATATGATGACCTCATCGAAGGCCTTGTTGTCTCCCCACAGGGCTGAGTAGGTTGGCTCCTCCTGGCCACAACTACAGTGAAAGAAAGAGAGTCTGTCAATCCCGGTGAAGTACAAAGTGAACACACATGTTGATTTAGCAACAGCCTGCCTCATTATCCTAGTGGGAGAAGCATAATCCAGGCTGTGACACCACTGAGTGGAATATTTTGTGACAGACTTTGGAAATTAGCTCATTTTAGAAACCAGAAAAGACACACAAGTCTGAGCAAAAAGCTCACTAGCTGCATATGGCAAACTATAAAATAGGATGAAGAGATAAGACGACAAAGACAAACTAACTTTATTTATTTTAACCATTATTAGACATCATGGATATGTTTGGTCATTGTTTGGATAAACTGGCCAAACCACTTCTGCCCCATGGTTTTGCACCAGCTTGCAGAAGGTGGTTAAATATTTCAAGGCTACTTGTTTCTGTCTGATGGCCAGACACACACACACACACACACACACACACGCACACACGCACACACACACACACACGCACACACCATCACTGCAGTAGCAGTAAACTGCTACAGGCCAGAGATCAGATTGTTGCACCTCCATGGACTTCCTTTGAGTTAATTGGCTTCCAGTGGTGGTTTGAAATGCGACCATCGGTGACCTTTGATTGTGTTATAGAAGCCACAAACACTTCGACCGCACTAGACAGTGTTATCTATCTAAAGATAAACAACAGTTATTACCATCTCACATCACAGAGAACTCTTCTATCTGTTTTAAGATATAGAATGACATCCATCTGTTATTAATGTGTGTTCTGGCCTTAGATAACAGCACAGCTGATGGAGGATGTTTGATACCGGTGTCTAACAGAATCAGAATCATCATTTAATTAACTTTAAACATTATTGATAAAATATTTACATTTCCCCTTTAAATATTTTCCACACAGTACATTAAACAAACTAGGTATGAAGAAACGTGTATAAGAGATGGGAAGATTATGAAATAAAATATAATATTAAGACAGCACAGCAGCAAGTGCATACAGAGGGGTAGGGGAGCGGCATGTGACAATCTGTAAACACACGCTGTCCCCAGTATGCAATGTACACCTTCTCCCACTGAGCTGCCAGTTCTTTTGTGTCACAAGTGTGAAACAATGTACACTAAAATTGGCTTTGAGATACCTGTGTCCACGCATCAGTTACACAACCACTTCACCATTTGTGCAGTGGAGTTGTGTGGTAAAAGTGTATGTTCTATACAAAGACAAGCTTTAAGGGGCAATACCACTCAACTGATGACTGATCTCGCTGCTGGAATCTTACGGCGGTGAAACAGTGACAGTAAAAAAAAACAACATTTGGGGGATTTAGTTGCTGTAATCTACAGACAATTTTCTCACTATGACTCTGGAGGATGGTTGTGCACCACATGGATGATCCTGCCAGGAGGGTAGAGGGGGGTGGAGGCTGAAAGGGCAATGCTGAGGTCACTGGGGTGGAGCCACAGGCGACTGCTGGGGGGCGCTGCTGGCTGAGACTGAGGATCATCATCCTCTACTGGAAGCTCTGATTTGGGGATGCATTTGGTGCCTCCCGCAATGATCCTCCACTGTTGCAAAGAAAAATGCGTTTTAGTTACGCAACATGACTTCCGAATCTAAATATATCTTCTGCACATTGTATGTGTTTCTGCAGCAGCCAGGGGTCAACTCAATGAAGCTTGAATTACAGCAGAGATACCGTGCCTGCAGTGTTGTGAGAGGTTGTGCGGAAACCTGCAGTTTATTTTAATCAGCCAGGGAAAAACTTGGAAATCAATGCTGAAGTGTGATGCTACTGCGTTTATGTAGTTGGTTTAGATGGGTGGACATGCAAATATGTTGTCACTCCGATGACTATTTAATCATTCATTAGTATTTGTATAGCAGAGATGTGTTTTTTGTCAATAGTCCATAAAGCATTCCCCCAAATGATGACGTTCTTAACAAGACCAGATGGCCTATTGTATCAGTTTCCTATTTTGTTCTTTTTGATGTTTACACAGTGCAGCAGGTCTTCTACAGTGTCATGAGATCAACTCACCTTTGGCTTGTTACTTTTCTGCAAGACTTCCAGAAGGTGGCGTCGGAAACCCTCCAGTTGTGACAGGCCGAGCCTACGAGAGACCAGCAGATGTGTCTAATGTGGTAGTACTGGAGCAAAGTAAAGTTAACCACAGTACACGGGACATAGTAGAAGAGATACCTTGGTACCAGGTCTTTTCCTAATACCACTGATGTGACAAACTCTTTGGAGTACTCCATGGCATCCTCACTAGGTAAATAAAAGAAAGAAACCGGTAAACGATGTGAACACGACATGTGGAAAGAGTTAAGGGTGTGACCTGTGAGGAAACTCTCTGAACACATTTCTAGCTCACACTTCAAACAAACATTTGTTTTAAGTTACTCAGATAATGGAATACGACACACAGTTAACTATTCTACATCAAGTATTTAGGGAAGACTTTGATCTGGCCAAATGCACAAGAAGCCCCACATATGTGTCGTCACTAATTCTGCTTTCTGGACATCTGGTGGCTTGAAGGCCACAGCATATGATTTAGATCATTATCATACTCAGATCATTCAAACACATGAATTTGTAAGGTTTTATTCCATTGTTTCCTATATTTTGTCACCCATCTTGTATCTTCTGACCGAAGTCTGACAGATTAACTTCAATAAAAACATCAAAGGTGCACTGCAGCATTTAGTTATCTCTTGGTACAGACTCTCGTCCTCAAATCATTTTGGGATGACTTAAAACCTCTAATTCATACATTATTTTGAATGAGGTGTTCAAATAAATAAATGATTAAGGTGCATAATACAAATTGATTCCAGGGGACCTTTGTTGCAGGTGATACACCCCCACCCCCCCCTCACAAAAATGGCAAAAGAAAACACCATCACATTGCTCACGCTGTCATGTTTAGTCTCCAGTGTAAACACAGCAGGGACCATTTAAGGTGAACTGAAAATTCTCAACTCTGTAGAGCAAAAATATTTATATCAGGTGTGGTATCATGCTGAAGTTTAGCAGTGATGTGTACTGAACAACAGCTACAGGCTTCAGTAAACAGCTATAACCTGCGACGGTGCTCTGGTATGAAACGGTCAAACTTGGGTTAAACATGCGTGGGATTTATACACATTAACATGGGATTTATACATGAAAGTGGCAAACAGGCTTTTACTGACTTCCTGCACGATGCAGTCAAACTGAGCGACTGATCTTGTCTTGAACAGCCTTGTGTACATCCAGTAAACACACACAGATGGACTCACCTAAAAAGGCCACCAGGTGGAGAGTAAGAGTAGCAGTGAAGTGTGGGATACTGAGGTCTCAGTAGGAAGGAGAGGATAGCAGCAGTGCCTGCACCCAGAGAATGGCCGACTATCACCAGCCCGTAGTGCATGGTGCCCTTGTTCTGTGAGAGAAGGCCAGAGTCATTACACTTACAACAGCACACTTTTGTAACCACAGTGAAGATAATCACTTCAACAAACTGCCTCAACTGCTATTTGCAGACTGCTTGGTATAGAGTAGGGTCAGTGTACTGTTGCACAGCTAGCGTAGCCTTGAATAAAGTACTACAGTTCAGAGTGACAATTAGGGAAAATGTTCATTATTGATTGCCATGATTTATAAAGTATACTAAGTGGTGTACCAAGTCTCTTCCGAAGGCTTGTGACAAGATCATTTCCTGCTCCAGTTTCTTCTTAATGTATTCTGCTGAGTAAACCATCCCCTATGAGTGAAAAGAAAGAGAGACAGAAATATGGACAGGAAGTCTGCGTCATTAATCTCTTGTTAAAATATTCAAAGCAATTGTTCTAGTATTAACAACTCAAAGGACCTTCGGAGTCTGGAATAATGTGCAATGGAGAACAGAAATGCAAAGAGGAAAATCTCATAGGAGACTGTACAGAGGAGTATACTCAGAGAGATTCATGTTTTATAAAGCCTCTCCTACAATACATTAATACACTGACCTTGTGGCCAAGCCAGGTCCCGTGCTGCTCCTCTACAGGCAAACGTTCAGAATCCCCCGTCAGATCAGTCAAGGCGTCCTGATGCACACAAGACAAATTTAAAAAGAAATCTAAAAAGAGTGGATGAACTGAAACAGGGGGAATTAGACAAAGAAAGTGAAAAGATCACCTTACTAATTAAAGTGCACCTATAAGGCAAAGGAATTAAAAATACCACTCATAATATCCTTTGCAAATTGGAATATTATTAGTTATACTGTATTAACCGTAGCAAGAGCTATAAGTCCACAGAGAATGGTATATGCTCGTATAAAACTCCATACATCATTCTTACTTTAATGTTTCTTTTCGCCATGTAAGGTTTTCCTTTGCTCAACATAAGGCTTTAAGTGGTACCTAGTATGTGTAAATGGTGTTTCTTATCTTGATAATGCATGGCAGAAGTTTGACGTTTGCCCTGAGAGCAACGAGAGCTCAACATTTACTTACTTAGATATATATATATATTCAGAAATACCTCGCAAAATGCTTCTTTAATCTTTGTACTCTAATTGTAACGTGTACAGTACAGTACAGTTTCCACTGGCTGGGAGCAAAGCATCAGAGATCAATGGGATGAGAATCATGGCCTTTGTAATAAGGGCATGATTAAGCCCTCAGCTGTTGTTTCAAGTCAGGTCTCATAACACTACAGGAATTCTCAAAAGAAAAGGACATTTAGTTCTAAAAGTGGACAGTCACGTTTCTCTATGCGTGACGGGTGTAGGAGTTTGAGAACACTGCATAAAGCTGTGAGGATTTCACCTGCTCTGGAGGTGTTGGTGTTGTGAGGTACTGAAGGGAACAGGGTGCACGAATGTTTAAAGGGATCTAAAAGATATATTACTATTAAAACAGGCAAAGAAAGATAAAGTTCACCTTTGGCGATAGGGTTCCTCTTATACTGATGACAACCTTCTTTTTCGCATGATCCACTGCCACAAAAAACGGGGTCTCGTAAACCTGGATGTAAGATGCAGAGTGGACAGAGAACGGTGGTGAGAAAGTGAGAGGAACCGGCAACGGTCAAAGTGAGGAGGAGACAAATACTTTAGTACACGTTAGTTCTACTTCCATCCCAGCAAGCAGAGCAGTCTTTGTCCTTAAATATTTCTCCACTTGGCACCGCACACATAAGTCCTATAATTCAGTCCCTGGCAGTCATTTATAGATGGAAACTAACCTCCCCAAGAAGTGCCCTGCTTTAGAAATCATGTGGCTCGAGTGCTAGTGTGAATGCTGTGGAAATTCCACCTGAAAATAGAATAACTTAATTGAATATTTGCAAACTATTACAACAACTATTTATATTTCTTTCAGTGGGATTATGAGTGGGGAAAGTGATGAGAGTTATGCATGTCTGGAGTGAAATTATTTTGACTTTTAAAACTACACCACAACAGTGGGGTTAAACTATTTGCTTTTTAGTGTTAACTTTGGCCACTACATTTTAAAAGTTACTGGTATTTTTTCTGGTATTTTATCAGCTTGGGACTTGTTTTTGTAGTCGACATCATCATGCCAATCAGTCTGAACAGCCATTTTTACTCACCAACTTAATAGAGACAGCCCACAGCGAGGGAGAAAACAATTCATCGCTCCCCATTGACTTATATTGCGCGACGGTCCCTCCTTGTCAATTCTGTCTGCTAGCAAACAACAGAAAATTGCCCTAAAGCTTCAGTAGTGTTATAGTAGAATGTCTTGTTTGCATGATAGGACATGTTACCTGCAGCTTGCTAACAGCCAACATGTCCCATCATCTTTGGAGTCATGAAATGCACCCCTGTTAGACATCGGGTGCAATAATAATCCTTTGACATGCTGAAATCTGATGTTTTTCAGCTAGCTACTGGGCATTTTGTTAGCGTTTCAGCCCTTGGTTGCATAATGTAGCGCCGATTTCTTTCCCCTCTGATGGACGTTTCTTTCAGAGTATGTCTCTGTTGCCTTAACATGGGGATGCAAGCAGCTTTACTAGATATAGCTGTTCAACAAACGTTCACTAGGCAACGACCAAGTACTGATAGGATGATGACCAGCTGTGACCACTCACCAGAAAGTAAAATCAAAAAGTGAATAAAAAAATGTTTGCCACCCCCGCTCTCCACAGGGGGAGGAATCTCCCTCCAAATCATTTCAACTGGAACATAATTTGACAAAGTGAAATGTAAATGACTCATTATAACACTCTTAAGGCAATGCACCAAAAGCCTGCAAGACTGCATCATCTGATGAGAGGCCACCAAATTGAACACTCTCCCCTCTTCGGCTGCACCTTAAGGATCTGTCCATGCCGGTCACAAACAGCCTCGGCGGAGTCCAACACCTACTGAGAACACACTTGACTTGCTGCCGAGAATGTGGACACGGCAACTCAACTGCCCATATCTCAGCAACTACACTGGTGAGTAAAGTGTTATCAAAACATTTACAAATGACGGCCAGAGCTACAAAATAAAGCCACTAAATGATCAGACTGGCTGCTACTGTAACATTGTATGCAGGGCTCTTTGTGCAGAACAGCTTTAAAAGGGAATGCAATAATTCACCTCGACAGTGTATTTTGCAAAAGGTATTGACATTAAAACAAAAGCATGGACAAATGAAAACAAAATCCTGACGCTGCTCCTCACACTTATCCACACAAACAATCCATTGTCTAAATTCGGAAGTTAAGGCCAAACACCTCCGACTGCTCATTAAGCCAGTTGTCGGATTACTCACAGCATCGTGGCAGGATGTGTAGACAATCTGAACCTGCTTGAGGTCCCTGTCCAGGAAGTGTCTCCGTATGGCCAGGACATTACAGCCGCAACAATTGTCCTCCTCCACTGTCACAGCCTGAGACAACCGAGAGCCAGATCCGGAAGTACAGCTGGGGTGAGAGGGAAAGATGAGAAAACAGCAGGACGTGAATACTAAAAACAGATGAATACAAGAGTAAACAGGTAAGGTGACAGAGACATAATCAAGTCTCCCAGTGTAGGCGATGTGGAAAAGAGAATGTGATTAATTCGACAATCGGCTTGTGTCGGTGAGTGAGTCTAACTGGAGTGGTATTATCTGAGTGGATTACCACTTGGCAAGTGTTGACGCATGTGAAATTTGATCCGCACTGGAGAGTCTCAAGAGACACAGAAGCCAAATAGATCAAAACTGTGCAGGTGTATGTGTCAGCGCTCACGGGCAGGAGCTGGCGAGGCGGCAGAGCCCACAGGCAGGCTTCCTCATTAGGTACATGGGCCAACCGTACGCAGCCAGGGCAAAGAGCATGTAATAACACACATCCTTGTACATGTTCATCTCGGTCTGGGAGAGGGAGGGCAGACAGACAGACAGACAGACAGACAGACAGACACACACACACACACACACACACACCCACACACGTCAGAACACACAGGTGAGGAATAAGAGCAATAACACATTCAGAAATCTTGAGATAGTCAAATACGCAGATGTCCTTTTAGATGATTACTACATACACACTACATACACAGATGCTAATTGCATTTAAAAAAAACATTGCACACAACTGCAGACAAACAAAGATTTTGAAAGACAGTATCATCAAATCAACCTATGGCTGTGGTTTAGTCCCACGGTTTTGTTTTTATGGTGTGAAATATACACAAAACCTTTTTGCATGGGGCTAAAAAGCTAAGGGACCCTGGGACACCTAGGTTACTCCAATTATTGATATATCTACTTCTATCTTAATAATAATAATAATGACTGTCAGCTAGAGGAAAGCCCATTGTTTGTTGTGTATTGTATATAATTTACGTGACTTTAAGCAAGTAAAATAGTTTACAAAAAATGTAAATAAGATACAAGAGTCTTTAAGAACGAGTTTAACTGCATGTTGTATTTTTATGATCCGGTGTGTCATTGTTTACCTGAACTCTAAAATGTCTACCTTTCTCAATTGCCCACTGTTGCTGTGATACAAACACAACCTTCACTTTGTCAATTCATCGCACATAAAGAAACTTACCGAGTTCTTAAGGTCCAGGTATCGAGTATTACGAGTGACAGGCATTCCAGATAAGAAGGCTAAGATGTCATTGTTGGCCTTAGGAAGAGACAACAGAATAGAAAACTTGTTGTCATTACAGCTCATGCCTATGCAAGCACAAAAATATATATATATTTTTTTTTATAGATAGTGATACCTGGTCCAGGATAGCAGATCTCTTAGACCGCTGCCTCTGGCGGAGAAGTACCAGGCCAGCAATAATATCGCTAGGCACAATGTCCAGGTCTCTGAAGAACTCTGCAAAGAGGCTGGCCACTTCTGAATACGCATCCTGGACAGGAGAGCAGATATCAAGGCATGTCGGCAAAGCACAGCGACAAAAAGAGGACCGCTTCATTTAATCATGCAGCCTCTGAACTGCCTGACCCTCTGCTTGTTGTGCTCTGTTCAAGTGAATGATGGTTCATAGCAAATTAAAAATTGTATATTCTCCACACCCCAATTGCAATTTTGTTGGCTTATAAGTAACATAGCTTTAGACAAAAGGTGAGGCAACTTTGGCCTCTCAATTTCACAAGCAATGCTGACTAATGTAAACACCAACTTAGACATCACCAAGTATGTGTTTATATATGTAATGTAAGGCGGTATAGTACAACTGCCTGGACATTTTCAATGCTTCAAAGCACGCTAACCTGAGGGTTTGTGGATTTGTACCAATAGTCAGAGAGGAAAATGCTTTTTTTACAAGATACAGTATAATGCCAATCTTTCTGGATTTTTTTTACTTGCAGGACTTCCGTCCTGCAGTCCAGTCTCGTGAATAGCTGTCACTATATGACTGCAGTTGTAAGGACTTTCTTTGCAGACAGCTTGTAAATTGATTTAGACTGAAACTAAATCATTTTACATTCAAGTTTGATATGAAATGCTTAATGTGCCGGTAAGTCGCTGAGCAGTGAGCTCCTTTGTGTCACTGCCGTGACTCATCCTGTTAGGGATTATTTTAATGACTGGCTCGCTGGACATGCTCGACAAATTTATGGTGTCATTCCTCTCTGTTTTACTTTAACCGCAGAGAGGAAATGGATAAGTCTGTGTTGTGACTCACCGATTGTGTATCCTGGGCTCTCGTGCAGCACATGAAGAACTTGAGTCTCCTGCTCCAGCTGCTGGCTTGGCCTTCCTCTAGCCGGTGTCTAATGGAGAGAAAAGGGAAAGGAAGACTATCAAGACTGAATTTTTGGTGGAAAAACAGATAAGATGTGCATGCTTGTTGTGTCAAGACAAAATAAGAGACAGTAAGAAATAGAGAAACTAAGTGCTTGTTAATACCTGAGTGTGTACGTTGTCAGGTTGCGCTGGCGCCGACGGGTGGCTTTCAGTTTGACAAAAGTCCGACCCGTGGGATCAAAGGTGCACGTGAGGGTAATGCAAACGCTGAAAATGACTAGCCAGTTGCATGCAACGATTCCTGCAGAAAATATTAAAACATCATTCACATTCAAGCATAACGAAACCACCTTCAACTTGAAATGTCCATCCTCCTTCTCTCACCCAAAGCCAGGTTTTTGGCAGTGACATCAGAGCACGGCTGATAATACTGGACAAGCCAGGCAATTCCCACCACAGCATATACTAGCTCTACCAACAGAATAGCTTGAGAGAGAAAGAGAGGGAAAGAGAGTGGTGAATAATGATCAATATCTGTCCAATCAATATAAACAGTGTTCAAATCTTAACTTGGAACCACAGATAATCCTGACAACCACATCCTCCACTCCTCTCGGGCATTAAAGAGGCAATCCTGTTTAAAGAGAGCCTCAGAAGAAGAAGTGAGTGTGCCCGTGTGTCTCACCAAGCCGTATATAGATGACATACTGCACAGCTTCCCTGGGCTGTGTGTACAGAATGCTGCCTCTCATGCTCAGCCACATGATGGCGCTCTCACAGATAAGGCAGCTGACCAGGATGCCCAGGTACCCTCTGCCATGGTCCCCCAGCGTTACAGAACAGGACTGGTCGGAGCCGTACGGGAGGCCGAACAGCACCACGGACAGAACCACCAACCTGGACATGAAAGAGAAGTGGAAGGAATTAATATACACGGGTATATTAAAAATGAAATATATATATATAATGCAAAAACATCAATACAGTGACTCACCAGATGCAGTGCAATAGAAAGAGGAAGAGGGCAGGCAGCACCAGGTCATCACTGCCAACTGACCAGCGCCGCCGAAACATCACCATGCCAGGCATCACTGCCCTGTGGGGAGACCGAAGGGAGAGGGACAACTTCAGGGACAATGGACATCCTTTTCAAACTGGCATCTCTGTCTAAAAAGTTATAATGCTTCAATTCTCTCCTCTCAATTCTCCACAGGTATTTTTTGAAAAGGTTTGACCTAATGTCCTAACATACTGTACATCCTAATCCCACATAACAAGCTTCAAACAACGAGAGAGGGGAAAGAGAGGACCGATGAACAAACACATTTATACTGGCATGGATCCCTCAACAGGTCAAATATTGCTTAACACTCGACGTCATGATTAGGCCACCGATTTACTTTCCGTTTATCAAACTCTCTTTACTGAAACTGAGAGAGGGCTGCAGGGATTATAACGAAAATAGACTTGCACAAGTGGAGGAGATTGTAAGATAATGGGACGTGGAGAAGATGAGACTAAGTGGGTGAAGGGATGCAGAGAAAATGCACCACTTAATGAACAAAAGAGAGAGAACCAGCTTTGACATACAATGGTACCAGGCTGGTTATGGCCATGTGGAAAAAAAGCTTCTTTTATGTCACTCTGTCCATTCTCCTCCATGGAAAAGCATCACGAGTTTACTCAAGTGGCCTCTGGGCTTCACTGAAATGAACTGTAAAATACATGGTAGGGAGAGAAGGAGCCACAGAGAGGCTGATGTAGGCCTTACGGTGCCGATACAGGCTGATACAGCCTTTATCATACACCGCTCCTGCATATTTGCTGAAAGCTAAAGGACAGATTTTACAGTTCTGTCCAAAAAGTATGCCATCCATCATGCCAAGACCGTCGACTATAAAAGATAAAGCAGCACAAGTTAGTTTTCAGATTTCTTGTTGGTCACTATCCAGCACTCCTCTGCTTTTTAGTATTGTTTCAGAACATTTTTTCACATTTTTTTTAGTTATTGAGAAACTGGCAGCACCCTTCTTCACCCTTAAATACCAGTCCTCACAGTTGTTAAAGTCTCACTTCTTACTTACATCGTGCCTGCATGAAATAGCCCACGAGGGACAGTTGCATCATTCCCTCGTCAAAGGTAAATGTGGTATTATACAAGATCTTCCCGTTTCAAATTGACAAATGCCGCAGCAAAGATGCAGTGATTTGCATCCCTACAAGGGGCAACGTGCAGTTGATCATTTACAGTACGTGAACTCAGATTGGACCAAGATATCCAAGTACTGACACAACTGGAACAACTTGGTGGTGCAGCAAATGTGGCATTCCTTCCATTGTCTCTGTTCACATTTGTGTTTCCCGACATGATGCACAGTTGTTCCTTTTCTAAGTTTCACACTGGTTGGAACTAACTGGACTAGAATGTACAGTAACCTTTTGTTTCCCCCTGTGTATATCAGGTAGTGTCAAGACGACATCCTTGTCATTCCATTCCGCTCTTTTAGACGGTGATGGTGCAAGCTGGCAGTATAGAGCCAGCTTAACAACAAGCGGTCTGTTTGCAGAACAATAGCTTGCTGTGAAAATAACACCTGTGGTCCTTTAGCTTTGTGTTTCACAGTGTTTTCTTGGGCAACTATGCCCTAATAATGATAATAGATGCACAGACAATGGACGGTGTCTGAAAGGACTTGCTTTTAGAGGAGAGTCCTCATTTTCCTGCACTAACATGACGAGTGCAGAAGACTTTTCTCCAACCAAATCAATTCCAATGCTCTATACTGAACAAACCATATATTACATGTATTCATTGTACTAGCTGAGCACATAAAGAGGCTTGAAAGGAGGTCTAGAGTTACTGTTCCTTGTTTGTACTTCGTAATTACCTCTGGAGGAAGAAATCAGCCAAAGAAAAGAAAAGAATAACATCCATTGAGGCATTTGTGCTGCTACCTACATAGCTCCGAGTAGGGACGTGTGGAGTAGTACAGAAAAACACCGGCATTTCCTCTGAGCAGATCTGGAGGAGAAATACCTTTCCACAAAGCCTTCTCTTTTTTTCATTACTGAACATACTGAAGACCTTGCAGTCAGAACGGATCCTCATTCTTGCTCCAGAAGTTTTCAACTAGGCAACAAGGCGACTTTTTCAAGCCCGACTTCGTCAAGCTAAGACTTCTCGAATGTGTAGTTACCTCATTTTTATTGTTCAAACCATGTGTTTGCATCCGATTTCGGTCCTCTCTTCTGCTCGGTGGTCACGTAGACATTGGGCCACTCCCAGGTGCCATGACCCCGCTAACCTCATTTATCCTACTCTCTCAGCTCATGTTGAGCAAGTGGTACCGGGGGGGCTCTGGAATTGCCAGTCGGCAGTGCCGAAAGCTGAGTTTATCTCGGGCTACGCTTCCTTGCTCTCTCTCAGCTTTCTTGCTCTAACTGAGACCTGGATCACGCCAGAAAATACCACCACACCTGCAGCTCTGTCAGAAGTGTACTCTTTCTCTCACACTCCCAGAGCTGCAAGGCAGGGTGGTGGTACTGGCTTGCTAATTTCCCCAAAATGGAAATACACTCTCGTCTCAGTTCCTCAGTTCTCCCCGTCCTCTTTCGAATTTCATGCGGTTACTGTCACTTATCCAGTCAAGCTCACCATTGCTGTTGTGTATCGCCCACCAGGCCATCTTGGTGAGTTCTTGGAAGATCTCGACACATTAGTCTCACACTTCCATGATGATGGCTCCGCACTCATCCTGCTCGGAGACTTTAACATCCAGACTGATAAATTAGAACCGCTTCTTTCCTTCCTCTCCTCTTTTGACCTTTACCCCGCCTCTTCTCCTCCTACCCACAAGGCCGGCAACCAGCTGGATCTTATCTTCACAAGACACTGTTCTACTGCTAACCTCTCCGTCACTCACCTCCAGCTCTCTGACCACTATTTCATGTCTTACTCCCTCTCCCTCTCCTCTCCCCCCGTACTTCCACCACCTACCCACATGGTTTCTACCCATAGTCATCTCCGCTCCCTCTCCCCGGCTGATCTTTCATCTTCTGTTACCTCTGCTCTCCCTGAAGCCTTCTCTCTCCTATCCCCTGATATTGCTACTGATCTTCTCCTCACCACCCTTTCCTCTTCTTTGGACAACCTCTGTCCCTTCACCTCCAGGCCTGCACGGCCAACCCCACCTGCCCCATGGCTGTCGGACTCAGTGCGTAATGACAGACGGAGCCTAAGAGAGGCTGAGCGTAAATGGAGAAAAGGCAAACTCCTGGGGGACCTTCTTAACTTCCAAGCTCTTCTTTCCACTTTTTTCACCACTCTATCTACTGCTAAAGCTGCTTTCTTTCACTCCAAAATCCTAACCTCTGCTTCCAATCCTAAAAAAACTCTTCGAAACTTTCTCTTCACTCCTCCAACCCCCACCCCCTCCTCCTACTTCCTCCCTTCTCCCTGACGATTTCGCCAACTTCTTTGACAAGAAGGTAAACGATATCAGATCCTCCTTCTCTCAGCCCAACAGAGGCAAGGACACGTCACATGTTCTGGTTTAATAAATATTTCGGAGGTAGAATTGTGACGGATGAATATTGACACACTGCAAAAAATGCATGTAAACTCAAATTTCATTAAAAAAAAAAAATTGTCTGCCAAAGTTTTATGAGGCAAAAATGCATTCAGCAGGTTTGTTAGGTCTGAAATACATTCATAATAAAATAAACACGTAAAATATCAACATAACACTGTCCGGCTCTATTGTTGAGCTGGAAATGAGCCGTGGACACATGCATCATGATGGGAGTTTTAAGCTTCAGCTAACAGTGGATCACTTCGAATAGGGTGTCAGGATAATGGCAATAATTAACATCTTCTCTATTCCATTGAGAGAAAGAAATGACTGGTGGAAGTAGTTTGGCCTTTTGAATGACATTAATCAAGCGGACACCCACTATTCACTCAACTGTGAAATGCTTTGGCTGCTTGCAATTGCACAGCAAAGAAATCTAGTTGCTCACCTCAGTGGTCACAATAATTAGACCCTCTCCAACACTTTTCTTAACAGCACAATAAACTACAGGCTCAAAATACAGTTTAATCCACACCGTGAACAGTGCTGTGAGCGTTATGAGACTGGTATTCACTGTAGGGCTGCTACATGCTATTCTAAGGTGCTTCTGTTATCTCATGCATCCATGTTCTCAAACCCTGACATGTTTGCCTCACTGAGGCGGTCGCATTCCTTTAGTAGAAGCTCAAGAGTAAAAGGAAATATTGAAACTGCTCAATTTCTTTGAATAATACACGGTACAGAGAAATCAACGCACCAAGAAACTGTGATTTCACGGAGTGGGCAAAAATATTACAGCACAATTTGTGCCCAGTAACGACTAATCCCTTCAGTGTTTTAGTGACATGAAAATTGTTTTCACAGCAACCAAACCTGAGTGTTGTGTTGGCAGCCGATTATAATTGGCTATCTGTAGGGTCAGACCACGAGCAGTGCGACAGTGTGAAGGTTTCCTGTCCAATCAAAGCACTGCAGCAGGTGGTTTCACTGATTGGCAGACCTTCAACCAAAGAAGGCGGACAACACCGTAAAAATCAGCTGGAAGAAAACCCTTGCAAGCTTTAGCGCTTGCTGTGATTACTTGTAAAAAAAAACCAAAGCTCCAGAGGAGACTTGAGGAATACACTGTACATTAGGTGTGGCACGACTCTTGACCCACAGATTCCAATTCTTAATCGAAGCCCAATATGTGGCTCCTCAGCTTTGGGGTAACGCCAGAGAGCGGAGGAAACAAGGGCATGTGACTGAAGTCACAGCTACTTGTAAAACTCTATCTGGGTTGGAGTAACATTAAAGAGGACAGCGGGAGGGAGGGAGGGAGGAAAGAGGGGAAAAGAAATAAAGGAACATCCGAACCCCCCCCCCCCCCCAAATCTCATTTAGGCCAAAACAATCAGGCCGGTGAAATCAAGTAGATCTCTTAAATGCAGAAGGCACACTAGACCTCCAGGGACACGGTTATCAGCCCTCTCCTCCAGGCCTGTTGTTAAGATTTGGCTCAAAGTCCCAGCGGAGACCTCAACAG